CCAACAGTGGCAGAGATGGACAGGCACCACAGGGAACCCCATCCAGCCATGGGAGGAGTGCTAAAGCAGCAAGGGTTAACCAGACAGGGAGCAGGGCCCCATGGCAGGGAGGGAGCCGAGTTGGGAGGCATCTGAGGAGGAAAACAGAAGCTGGACCTGAGTTAGTTATTGGGAGGGGAAGAGAACAGGTCATGGGTATGGCACTAGAAACACTGGTTTTGAGGAGTTTGGAATATAGAGGGGGCTGAGAAATAGAGAGGAATGCAAAGGCACAGGTACAGGCATGACATGAACACTGGGCCCATCTGGTCATTTTCTCCTTTAATGCTCAGGCCTTGATCCTGCTGGACTGGGTGGCTGGTGGCCAGGGTTCAAGGATACAAATGCTCTATGGAAATGGCCAGTGAGAGTAGAGGGCAGCCTGGGAGAGTTGCTGACGGGTAGAGTCAGGGAGCAGGGCAGATGAGGGGTCGTGCCTGGAATGTGCTGTGGCTGAGAGGCAGAAGCCAGCATGTAAGACTGGATCTCTGAAGCCACAGCATGTACAACATGTTGTCTTGGTGCCTGCTCCCCAGCTACTTAGTGGGCCTATGTGACCAATAAGCTTACAGATCTGGGGGTCAGAAGCTTCTCAAAGCACAGTGGTATCATGCTTATCATGGTTAAGAGAGTAGCTAAGAAAAAATTCAGTTGAGTGTCCTTTGTTGAAGTTTAGGCAACTGTTTTAAAAAGGTGTTCCTCCAGCAAATTTAAGATAGAATTGTGTGAAACCACAAGCTTCCTGCAAAGCTGTGCTGTCCAGTATGGGAGCCCCTGCTTGGCAAGTGTAGTTGGGACATAATAAGTAGAGATACATACCAGATGCCAAAGAACTGGCACATATGAGAACATAACATCTCATGAATGATTTTTATATATCAACCGCAAAGTATATTGGATTATTTCAGGTTAATTAAAATATATTAAATTTCCTATTAATGTTTCCTTTTTTAATGTGGCAACTAGAATATTTTTTTCATGTCAACTATATCAAATTTTTTCATTTTAAAACATATTCATGAAATCATTCATTTTTGTACAATGTATAGTTTCCCTCTACCAGTTCACCCATGCACCTTCACTATAGTCCCTTGTACTCTTCCCTCCCATCCTGATCCTTCTTTCTCCTCCCCTACAGAATATCTCTGATCTATAGTTGCCTGATGATAGTTTTACTTTTTATTATATTTTTACTTTTTATTATATTTTTTCTGATTCCTTTTTTTGTTTACATTCTTCCTTCGATATTTTTCTTTTTCTGTCTGGCTTATTTTGTTGAGCATAATCCCTTCCAGCTCCATCCAAGTTGCTGTGAAGGGCATGCGCTTATCTTTTTTGATTGCTGAGTAATATTCCCCTGTGTAACTATACCATATCTTCTTGATCCAGTCATCTATTTCTGGGCCTCTGGGTTGCTTTACAGCTTACCTATTGTAAATTGTGCTGCAATAAACATAGGGGTACAGTTGTCCTTTGGAATTAATGTTTTCATGCCCTTTGGGTAGATTCCTAAGAGTGGAATTGCTGGATCACATGGAAGCTCCATTTTTAGTAGTTTGAGGAACCTTCACACAGCTCTCCATAGTGGTTGGACCACTATGGAATATTTTAAATTATACTGTGACTTGCATCCTTTTTCTTTTGGACAGTGCTATTCTAGGACATTCATACAAACACTCTCTGAAACATTAAGGCATGGCTGTGAGTGCACATGCATGGGAGAGCACCTTCCCAAGAAGCACAGGCTGAGTTAAGGGTTTAAAGTGCACATTCATGTGTATTTGGGTTTTTGTCAAGTCGTCTCTGTGTGCTGGGAGCATTTAAGTCCCTGCTGTGTTGCTGGACAGAGAAGGCATCAGTACCACATAGCTACAGGGGAGACTCCTGTGATCTCTCTGGCAGCAGCCATGAACTGCCCTGGCCACCAGCCAGTTTGGAAGCTAATGGGGTGGCCTGCCGTGTTGGTGGCTCCTGGCTTCAGTGTGCTCCAGAACAGGACTGTAGTGTTTTCTCCCTGGCAATTCTTACCTGTCCTTTCTGCACAGCCACTGATGTTTTTGCCTCAAATTACCCCCAGACCATTTTACCACTAGGGGGCGCTCCACCACGGAGGTAAACACAGCTTTTAGGGACTTGCAGGGAAGGGAAGTAGCTCCTGATCAGACATTTAAAATATTCCACCCTACCAACTCTGCCACAGAGCTTTCAGAGATGTTGAGTTGGGATCAGGAGGGCCACCACAAAGATAAATGTCAACCAGGTGTGAGAATTCCCCAGATTCAGGAGCTTCCCGTCATTGATAGCTGGCAAGCTGGTGCAATTTGGGGTTTTGTGTCATTAGGTAAGGGTCACAAAATGCTGAGTGATTACAAGGAGGACCACCATTTTGTGAAAACAGTAGGGCTATTTTTAACCTTCAGTAACTGTCTAGAACTAGGAGCAACTAGTTTATCACTCCCACCCCACCCCTACTTCAGCTTGCAGTCACATGGCTCATTCCATCTGATCCTAAGAACCCAGATGCAGGGGAGCTCAGCAAAAATCTCCCAGTGACCAGCTCTAAAAGTCCCTGGCTGGGTGTTCCCCCCCACGGAGGGCATGGCTGAGCCAAGAAACAAGTGGACATCTCCATACTGAGAGCATGTGATTCCTTAAGATTTTAAGAACTGCAGATAAATGGTCTAATTAGATGGCTTACTTAACACCTATGATTCTTAACTGACATCGGTTTATTTCCAGGGTTTATCAACTGCATCAGATTTTTAAATGAACAGTTGGTGCTCTTTACTATTTTCCTCTCATCCTTGGGTTTCCAACAGTCTGGTCATTATGCTAAGGGGAGGAGAGGAAATTCAGCTATGTGGCAGGGTGAAGAAAAGTTGGCTCCAAGCAGGCCACATCAGAGAGCCACCCTGGCACTTGCTGAGGCAGAGCTGGACCTGAGCTGTACTCCTGAGTCTGGAAAATGTTCCTTGCTTCACCAAAAGTTTATGGGCTATAGAGGCACCTGGGGTCAGGAAAGAAGCTACTGAAGATCTAAATCTGTTGCAGTCTGGGGAAGGCTGTGATTTCTAAGGGAACTAACATTTTCTGGGAGATCCTGGATGGTGTCATGGGCCATGAACTCATAGATGATCCTTGCCCACTGATCAGTCACTGGGGACCAGAATAGTGTCATTTTACCAATGGAAGTGTTTGGTGACAATGCTCTTTCCCATGGATCACCTGGCTCAGCTTCCCCCTACCACCTCACAGCCTCAGCTCTGGGGAACTCCTTTTTATTGAATCAGCTGTATATTAACACTTGAATGTGAATCCCAGGAGCACAGGCAGATCTGAACTATTAGGTCTAGCCACATCTATCACCATCTCCTACCCTCACTCAACAAAGATCATTTCCCAGAAATTTTCTAAGGGCCATTTTCTGCAGGAATCAGGAGAATTTAGTTGTCAGTATTTAAAGAACATGGAAAATGAGTCTGACCTGGAGAAGGCACAGTTGCACATGTAAGTTCCTCCATCTGTTTGAGGTACAGATGGTATAACAGAAATGACTTAGTAAGTCCCTAAGAAACTTTGCTGCCTCATCTCCAAGAATTCACAATTTACTACTACCAACTATTTGACTGACTGGGGTGGAGGTAGGGGTCATGCTGAGGACATGTGCCTTGGTGGGAGCCTCCCCACAAAGCATGCCCTGCCAGACCATAGGGAGGAGCTGTGACCAAATAGGCAGGTGTGACCCCAGTAAAGTCCCCTCAGTCTTACTGATGCTGTGAAGCCTCATCCTGAGACTCAGGAAGCCTCTCTTCTCTTTCACAATACCCCCTAATTTCCGTGAGCCCCTTGAAAAGGGTCCCTCTACTCCCTAAACAGACAGGCTTTATGAACCAGCCTACTTAAGAAACCTGATCCTGTCTGCCTCCAGGGGATAAGCTACTCCTTTAAAATGGAGCTCTGGCTCAGGTGTGGTTGCAGGTCTTCACAAAGAATATAATAAATTACAAATTAGGGAATAGCTGAACCAGTGGTCCCCATCTAAGTGTGACTAGCCACTGGTCAGGCCAAGTCCATAGCAGCTAGGCCTTGGCAGGAACCCCCTTACAGAATCTGGGTGTGTACTCGAGAACCAGAGGCTCGACCAATCAATTTGTGCAGGATACTCTGAAGGAGGTAGGGAAATGTGTGACATTTTCCAAGATCCAAAACCCAGTCTCACACTTAATACCCAATTCTACTCCTGCATCATTAGTCTCATCAGCTGGAGATCAGGCAGTAGAGCTGGCGACAGGGGGATTCAAGGGAGGAAAGCAGCCCTCACACTGCCTGCCAGGTGACCCAGCCCATACACCTTCCAGGGCAGTGCTCAACAAGCAAAACTTCCTTCCCCTGTGCAAATGGCACTGGCCTTCAAGAACCTTCCTTGCACTGCTCTGCCCTGCATCTAGGATGTATTACTACCTTCAGGCAGTCCTGGGCTGCAGGACCCTTAAAGGAACTCTGGCCTACAGGACTGTGACAGCAAAGTACTAAATGTCCATATTGCTTAAGGAACACAAATACAGTAGGTCTGTTGCTATTGTGGAGTCTGCCTAGTCCCTAAAGACTGTGTTCTCTGTTTGCTCAGGGAGAAACAAAGGCAGCACTGCTCTTGGTGGAGGCCCAGCAGTGGCAGAACGCAGCAGCAGGGAAGGATCCAGCCAAAGGATGCCCCGACAGCCCAGTGCAACCCGGCTGCCCAAGGGGTGTGGGCCAGGGAAGAGCCCTCCTCAGAGCAGTACCTGAGACAGGCAGACTCCCCACACCACCTCCTAGCAGAGGCTACATGTTTCCTTCAGTAGGTAATAAACCTTTGTGAAAAATTGAGTGTCCAGTTGAAGATGGTTTCTCTTAACTTTTGAATATATGAAGGCAGAAAGATGGAGGGTATGTTCTGTGTCCTGTTCCTATGCTACAGTTGAACTAACCTAGTGACTTCTTTTGTGGACTTCACTTTCTGGACTTGGGAGAAAAAATATGTATTTCTAGGTCTTCTATAGATAGACATGAACACAATTTACCTAACATAAAAGGTTAAACACTTACCAAGCCCATTCCCAGGATGCTCAAGGCAATAGGGGGAGGGGTTGGAGCAGAGGGGAGAATACTTTCAACAGTAAGGTCAGAGATGAATTGTGCCAAACTTCTGTAGGTCCTAATTGTAATGTAGAAATCTGCTCTTCTCAAAAAAATGGCCTTACACATTTGACCTACAGGTTTGGGGATTTTGAGGACAATCCCTTTACAGGACCTCAGGTTTCAAAATTCCATTTCCAAATGTTTATATTTAGTCAAGATGTCTCATCAGTGGAGAGGCCTGAAAGGTGGCAAATTTAATTGAAAAACTTAACTTGCTTTTCCTAGAATTGGGTAGACCTTTCCATTTGGAGACCTTGAATTGAAAATACGATTTCCCTTGGGGCATGTCTTATGAACAGTTGCTCCTCACACATGCAGACAATGCTGCACCCCCTGCCACAGCATAGCACTCTCTAGCCAGCCAGCCTCCACACAGCTCTGGGCTGGGATAAGGGACATCTACTCCTGTAAACAGTGTATCCTAGCCAAGTACTGCAACGGGTTTAGTACAGAAACTTTAATGGTGAACAATTTGAAAGTAACCAAGCCAAGGGGTAGCAAGAGAGTGGGAGAAGAGGAACACTTGCCAGCCACATTCTTCCATTCAGTATTCTTCCCCTTCTTCGGCCTCTGCTTCCACGGAATCCACGCCCACCTCTTCATAATCTTTCTCCAGAGCTGCCAGGTCCTCCCGGGCCTCGGAAAACTCCCCTTCCTCCATGCCTTCTCCCACATACCAGTGCACAAAGGCTCGCTTGGCATACATGAGATCAAACTTGTGGTCCAGGCGGGCCCAGGCCTCAGCGATGGCAGTGGTGTTGCTCAGCATGCACACAGCCCGCTGCACCTTGGCCAGGTCTCCCCCAGGGACCACGGTGGGGGGCTGGTAGTTGATGCCCACCTGCCAGAAGGGAAGAAAGTGCTTTGTGAAACTTCTGTCATATCCAGAAGTGGTGGCTGCTTTCACAGAAAAAGAAGCACATGGTGCCCTTTGCAACCAAGGAGAAGGCTTAGTTCACTGCAAATAGTCCCTTTCTGTGTTCCAGGCAAAGTGCCAAGAGAAAAGAGAGCTGGTTTGCAGACAAAGAAAATAGAAAGAGGAGCCCTGGAGCTAGCCACCTGGCTTGGTTGCAACCTGTTTGAAAGGCAGTGTCCCAGAAACTGACATGTGATAAATGCTCAGGTGATGTGGTGTGTCTGTCTTCCTTCAGAAAAAGGAAGGAGTTACGTTATTTTTTCCAAAGGCTTTAACAAGATGAGAATTTCTGCAACTAAGCTCTAATCAAGTTCAGAGTATACAGTTGATAGTAGCAGGAGGAAGGTTCACACCCTGTGTATCCCCACCAAATAAGTGTGTGCAAAGCACAGAAGGCTGAGGACCACTGCCACCATTACACAGGAGGTAGCCCATGTGTGCTAAGTAGAAGGTGATGTTCCAAGGCTGGAGGAGGCATGGCAAACTTCAGAATTAAGAAATGACAGGAACAGGCCCTCCCTGGTGGCGCAGTGGGTTAAAGCACTACGCTGAGGGGCTAAAGCCACTTCTGCATGAGTTCGATTCCCGCCTGCCCCAGGGTGGTGTGGCAGATCTCTCCTGGCCCACCCGCTGCTCCCCT